GGGATGAGAGAGAGGAGAGGGAGAGGGAGAGGAGAGAGAGGGAGAGAGAAGACGAGGGAGAGAGAGAGAGAGAGAGATGAGAAGAGAGAGAGAGAGAGAGGAGAGAGAGAAGAGAGAGAGAGAGAGAGAGAGACGAGAGAGAGGAGAGAGGGATGAGGACAGACCGAGAGAGATGAGAGAGAGGGAGAAGAGGGAGAGAGGGAGAGGGAGAGGGAGAGGGAGAGAGAGGGAGAGGGAGAGGGAGAGAGAGGGAGAGGGAGAGGGAGAGAGAGGGATGAGAGAGAGGAGAGGGAGAGGGAGAGGGAGAGGGAGAGGGAGGAGGGAGAGGGAGAGGAGGGAGAGGGGGGAGAGGTATAAGAGGAGGAGAGATTAAAATCTTATATTCCTTTACTTAACTGGTACAACAAAAATATTACAACTTTGCTGATTCTTTTTTTCATATTCTTTTGAATTATTTCAAAAATCCAAAAATAAATATTGTATTTTACATGATACATTTTTTTTCTCTTGATTATGATAAGTTTTGGGTAAGACTCCAAAATTTGACCCCACATATTCAAAAATATTCTGACCTTTTGTTGATGAAGTTGATAGCCTCGTATGCTGAGCTAACATTCACAATAGGCATGATGGGTCCAAAAATCTCTTCAGTCATAACCTGTAATAAAATCATGTATGTGTCAAATACATGAAGACTTGGTCCTATAATTCCTCAAAAGGTAAAACTGCAGCATCTTTACTTGTTCAGTAATCAAAATAGTATCAACACACAACTAATAGTATGAACACACAACTTATAGTATGAACACACAACTATATGTAAGAAAGCAGAAACATGATATACTTTGCTCTCAGGGTTAACATCCACAAGGATGGTTGGAGAAATCCACTTGTCTTCTTTATTCACTTCTCCACCAACAGCTATTGTCCCATCCTTCAGATACTCTTCTAGACGACTGAAAGCAAGAAGTGGAAGAGATTATCAAAACTAATGGAAAAAATATAGACAACAGCAAAAAAAATAATATAGCTATATATAGAGGGAGAATGCGACCTACTCCTATAACTAATAACAATATATAATATAGAGATTATGATTTAACGGAAAACAGACAAAATTCATAGAATCTCTTTCCTGAAATAGAATCCACTGATTGAAATGGCAAAACAAATTCAACAATACTTTCATTTTGACAAATGTCTTAACTATCCAACTGACCAATCTTCTTTAAGAAGGTAATGAGATTGGTTCTCTATTAGCCTATTCTCTAAAATAAATCAGAAATCTTTGGCATTTGCTTCACATGTGCAAATGGCCCTGTGCAAATGTCAGTGTTTTTATAAACATAATAGGGCATCTAGTAGCAGCAGTAGTAGTAATAGCATTAGTGCCAAATTACATATAGACTAGCTGGTACAGTTTGGCTAGTTTCTTTCTGCTACATCCAAAATATCCCAAGGTTCCCATTCCCTACTTAGGTCCTCCTCACCATCAACTATTAACATTCCAAGCTTCTTTCTTTTTGACACTGGAACATAGTAAGAGTTGTGTAGTAATTCTGATACTGTGCGGCATATTTTGTGCTGCTAAAACACTTCCATCATTTCCTCCTCTCCTTACTTCAATATTTTCATGCCAATTTATCTAATTCTCATTCATATGTAAAGGTTACCTGTTGACAACTTTTCCATCTGTCAATCTTTTGTATGACAGTATGACAATGAAGTATACATTTTCTGATGTGTTAAACCAAGAAAAAAACAAGAAAGCCACAAACCAAAAATCAACCAAATGAAACTTGAAAAAGTCAGGCCTCTCTGTGGCTGCATGGGATATCCGAGCTAGAGAGTTTGTAGTTAACAGAAATCAAGTGTAAAATAAAATAAAAAAGAAAACACTTACTTGACGTGTTTATCTGTAACAATCCTGCACAAGTCTGGAGACTTTTGAGGGTTTTCAGTATACCATTCCTTTAGTACCTCCTTTGCTTTGCTCACAAACTTATCCTGAACTTCCTTTGAACACAGGATATAGTCAGGAGCAATGCAGGTTTGGCCAAGATTGATGCATTTCCCCCACAAAATGCGACGAACTGCAATATCCATGTTGACAGTGTCATCAATGTAGACAGGACTGAAACCAAGAAAATCAAACAAACTTATTACTGTTATATAGCTAATATGTAGTAAATACAGTAGAGGGAAGGAAGGAACTAGGTCAAAAGGTTATCAAAGTACTTCACACAAACTAAAGATACCTGACAAACACCCACAATGAGCATTTGAGCAATTTTTTAAGTCAAAATTTTAAGATACTATGTTTTGCCTAAGAAAATTCTCACCTATGATTAAGAAAGGCCAAAAATGTATGTATCTATAATTTACTGCCACTGGATGACAATGGATAACTATGAATGTAAGTAACACTGTAAAACAGGATTGTTCATTACTACTTAAATCTGTATTCTATTCTTTGTTTTTGCTTATAATGACTTACAAGAGAGAAAGAAAGAGAAAAAAAATTGCATTATTAATAACAATAACAACAACAACAAAAATAATAATGATAATGATAATAACAATGATAATATATAATAATAATAATAATAATAATAATAATAATAATAATAATATAATAATAACAATAACAACAACAGCAATAATATAATAATAATAATAATAATAATAATAATAATAATAATAATAATAATAACAACAACAACAACAAGATGAAGATGAATAAAATATTTACTCAATACACTGCAAACTTATATTTGCAAAATAAAATAAAATCAGACTATACCTCTTTCCACCCAGCTCAAGAGTTGTTGGAGTGAGGTATTTATTAGCTGCATCTCGGACGATCTTGCCAACATGGGGTGATCCAGTATAGAAGATGTAGTCAAATCTCTGTTTGAGGAGTTCTTCTGTTTCAGGAATACCACCACATATCACATGGTAACAATCCTGAAAGATAAACAGATAAAAATATCAATAAAAAACTAAATAAATAAAATAAAATAGAAATAAAATAAATAAAGAGTATATAATTCCTTAACTGGCTACTGGTTAATACATCTTTTTACAAATAATATACTTTTAATACTTTTAAATCCATGAGTTACCTAAAACTAGTGGTCACCAGTGCTTAAAAAAATATAAAGTATAAGAAAAGAATACAGTGCAAAATAAAAGAAAAGAAAAGAAAACAATCATTCACGTACACTATCCAAATATTTTGGAAGAAGTTCAGCAATGGCTTGAGCTGTGGCAGGTGAAAGTTCAGATGGCTTGACAATCACACAATTTCCAGCAGCAATGGCACCTAATTACAATAAAATATTAGTTAATATCAAAGTTATTGCAATAAATAAAGAAAACAAATAAATTCCCATTTTTGTAAGAAATACATCTAGTCTATATTTTTCTAATTCTCAACCAAAGTAATATTATTTCTATAATGCAGAAGCTGCAAAATATATAATTGAACTTCTTTGGTAGTACTGATGGAACATCATTTTAATTTCTTATCAAAAGGGTGATAAAGGTGATGTTTCAACATCTATGTACTTATGTAACATTAAGGAAAAAATATATATAATGAAGAATTTAACCAACTATTCCATACCTAATTTACTGTCACATTACCTTGACAATTTTCCATTTTGCTTCTGCTCAAGAAAGATTACAGGAGCACTAAAATCTCACTTTACTGAATAACAGAAAACAATATAAAATCCCAACCCTAAGTTGTGCATTATGTACCTGATAAAGGAAGAAGAGGAAGCTGAAGTGGGTAATTCCAAGCTCCCATAATCAGCACTACACCATAGGGATCATGGTATATCACAGGAGTGTCAAACATGGTCACCAAATTTGCTGCAATCTGAAAATACAATTAAAAGGACCAATAAGACTTCATTGTATTTCTAACCTGACACACAAATTTGGGTTATAAAGTGAACACAAATGAAAAACTGAAAAAGATAGTGAGACTTTGTGAGCTAGGACTTAAGAGCAAAGGTAAAGGAGCCAAGAAATGACAGTGAATCCTGCATGGTAAGCGTTTCATACCTGGGCAACATGCAAGGAATATTACTACTTTGGCGAACATAGACAAAGTCATGTTGGAACACAAAAAAGAAATTGTACAAGATGGAATCAAACAATATAACCTAGACAAGAAATTGATTGCCAACATTTTCAAGGTCACAAATCCCAAATGCTCAGAGCAGAATATCATAGCTCACAGGAGGTTGGGATTATTAAAAAAAAAAAGAAAGAAATTCTCTTTAAAAGTTACATTCATCAATAAGCAATTAGTGACTAATCAGGATAGCCAAAGTCCTGGCCAACCATGAAGAATATAAGAGAAGTTAAATAAGAGAAGATATGACCAAAGATGGCAGAGAAATACTGCAGAAAAAACTAGAGGTAAGACAAAAACAAAAAACAACAACAAAGGACTGACATAGAAAAAAACTGGTTTATTTAGAGGGTGAGAGGTTTCCACACATTAGCCTTGTAACCAAAAGGAATACCAAAAGATTATATAGAAATAGTTTATTCATACATAGATGGTTTACCCTTGAAGTTGCTAGAACTAAATAAAATAAGTGAAATAATAAACCAGATGTAATATGCATCTCGATATCCAAACTGGATTCCTGCATAGACGATGTATCATTAAGATTTAGAGACTATAATACTTGGAGAAAAGAAAGCAAATGGAAATGGAGAGGGGTAGCAATATCAAAAAAAGGAAAGGAGTTATTGCCAAGGCCCCATAGTGGTACTAAAGCCAATTGAGGTAGAAACAAATGGGGTAAATATAATAAAAACCAGTGTACACCACATCTCGTACATTGGTGTGGTCAGAAAAAATTACCAGAAACTAATTTAAGAAATGTTTAAGAGCCTGGAAGAAGTGCTGCAACTTTCAGAAACCAAAGCAAAAGAAATCCTTGTAACAGAGGATTTTAATAGCAAAATTGACTGGGAAAGTTTTGATTGCAGAGCGCAGCCCCTCCTTTGAGGATTACTAATTTACTAGAAGTCATAAATTAGTATAGCCATTTAGAAAATGTGACAGATCATATCAGCGTAGGAGGGCTAAATAGACTGTCTAAGTTTGATCTAATATTCACAAAGCATAAAGATGATATCAAGAATATTGAGTATTGTCCTCCTCAAGGAAAACTTACACATGTAGTAATTAAACTAAAATATTGTCTGCTACAGGAAAATCTCATCATAAGTAAGAAAAGAAAGGGGAAGTAAAATTACAAGAGAGGTAATTATATATTGGGACACACTACTGGATGATGAGAACAATATTCAAAATTTTGCAGTCAATAAAAAAGGAGTAGAACAATTTATATCAAGATTCAAAACTAAAGCAAGAAATGGCTAAAAGTGGTCCAACGATAAATGCAAGAAAATGAGAGAAAACAAGCAGCTTGTTTGGAAAAGATTCAGAAGACATAGACCTCTTGCAGTATATGAAAGGTATAAAGTAGGAAGACATGAGTATATTCAAACCATGAGGGAGGCAAAAATAGACTGAAATGGATAAAATCAATAAATGTACAAGTTAACCAAAGATCTTCCTTAACTACAAAAATAGTAAGATTAAAAATAGAGATAAAGTTAGTGTCATCAAAGACAATTACACTCTTTACACTAAGGAGGAGGAAATGTGTGAAATCCATAATGAGAAATCTCAGGCAGTGTTTGTTTAGGATCCATACTTTGAAATGGCAAATAACCATACAAACCATACAGAAGAATATTGAACATATCAGCCTCAAAAAGAATGAAATAAAAGACCTACTAAAAGGGTTAAGGGGGCCGTCACCGTAGATTTTTTATGAATATTTTAAAAAATACTCGAAATTTTTTAAAAATCTTGTGTAATCTCGTAGGCTTTGGCAATCCACAGACGTAATATTTCTGCTAAATACGTAAGAATAAAGGAGTAGTGACTAAATATCTAACCCCCCCCCCGCCTCCCGCTCCGATGTTTACCTTGTCGCATCCATGCAAATATACTCGACATAATTGTTTTTTTCTGATTTTTTTTCGATTTATTTTGGTGTTCTCTGGTAGCTAGCTGGCAACTCTGTTTACCCATCAGCTGATCGCCAAGACTGGGACTCTGGGAGACAAGATGTTACAGAAGTACGCCCTCATTGCACAATAAGGGGACACAACTAAAGGTAAATGTTATGTTCGTATATAATAAACATTATATGATAAAAAATAAATCTCAATCACAGCTGCAGCAGTCAGGCATTGCGAAATCTGTGATGACACGCACTAATTCTACAATCATGTGCAGTTATTGCCATAAGTACTTAGCAAAAGGGGGGGGACCAGGTACCAGCTACACTTTAGAATACCATGTGAATGCTATAGAATGCAGAAAGATTGACGCAGAGATAAGAATTCTTAAAAATCGAAACAAAACAAAACAAAACAAAACAACACAAAATTGACGGAAAATATCCTAAATTTCGGAGCCTGATATCTGGAAACTATATGTTTGCCAACACTGCCATAACTGTTTGGAGATTATAATGGGGTTTGGGTCTTTTGAAAGCTGAAAAGATTTGTGATTTTTTACATTATGGATATTTTATTCACGTAATGGAAGTCCATATATCATATCTTGAGTTCATAGGACTGAGCATTTAGAAAAAAAAAATTCCCATTAAACTAAAAGGAAATCAAAGATCACTATAAGGGAGACTTTTTGTATTGTTATAGACTGTATGTGGTATTTTATTCAACAAGTTTGGCTAATGGATAAAGTGTGAATATCAAACTTTGTGATTTTTCACAAACTCATTTTTCTTAAATAACGCCGTTGTTTATTATTCAAATTATATGAAATTTGGTGGTGTTTATCAGCGTATATGTATACATATTATATTAAAAAATTGTAAAAATCCGATCATAAATGACGAACTTCGTTCTCGAGTGCAACGGCCGCCTTAAGCATGAGACCTGATGCTATTTCCAACTTGGTTCTTGGGAATGAGCTGAAGAACTACGTACTCCTCTCTTCTTAATATTCCAAAATTGAGTGTCGAGGAAAACTACCAAAAAGTTGGAAACTCACCAACAGTACACTTATATGAGAGTGGTGCCAAAAAAAAAAAAAAAAAAAAAAACTCTAAATCATAGACCGGTTTTATTAACTAGTTTAGTAAGTAAGCTATTAGAAAGTATAATTAGGAAACAATAGGTTGAAATACTTGAAAAACACAAAATGATAACAATTAAGCAATTTGATTTTAGGGAAAGAAGGTCATGTTTAGCAAATCTCCTATTTTTTATGACAAAGTTTCTGAAACATCATAAGAAAGAAAGGGCTGGGTGGATTATGTACTTGGACTTTATAAAGGCTTTTGATAAGGTGTCTCATAGAAGATTATCCTGGAAATTAGAATACCTAGGTGGAGGGAAAAGCAAACTCCTTGAATGGTTGAGAGACTTCCTTCAGGAAAGACAGTTGAGCACTCGTATTAGAAGGAAGTACTCTACATAGAGACTAGCAACCAGCAGAGTGCCTCAAGGATTGTTCTTGCTGCTGATTGCTATTTTCATCAAAGATTTTGGGTCAAATATAAGCACTGGTAGTTATCTGAATATGTCCCAGACAATGCAAAACACAAAAACAGATAACAGATGATGTCTCATGCCTCTAAAGTGACATCAGAACTTATTCATGTTGGGGTGACTTGGAAAATGGAATTCAACACCAATAAATGCCATGTAGTCAGGTTCAGAATAAGTAGAAATCATCCACTATATCAATATTAGGAGATGCAATATCAAACACAGCAGATAGGGAAAAAGACCTTGGAATAAACAAAAACAGGTGCCTAAGCCCAAATGATCATATACATGAAAAGGTCCATAAAATGCTAGGGCTGACTGCCAACATGAAGATGGCATTCATGTATGTGGATGAAGATTGGGTAGAGAAGATCATTACAGCCATCATATGACCTAGTCTATATATAATATAAAGAAAGAAAGAGGAGAGAAAAAAAGAAAAAAAAAAACACATACAGACGCACACACGCACACACACATACACACATGTGCACACACACACACACGCACACACACTCACACACACACGCAAACGCACACACACACACACACACACACACACGCACACACACACACACACACACACACACACACACACACACACACACACACACACACACACACGCACGCACGCACGCACGCACGCACGCACGCACGCACGCACGCACGCACGCACGCACGCACGCACGCACGCACGCACGCACACACACACACACACACACACACACACACGTACACACCCTTCCTACCTTTTCTGGCTTAGCCCACTCATCAAGCCTGGCAAGGATATGTGTGATGTCATCTTTTAGGAGATTTAGTTCAAGCAGCACACTTTCCTGTTTTGGCTGAAAGTTAAATAGAAATGCAAGGTATTAATAAAACATAAAACCCAACATTAACTAAACAATCTAAAAAGTTACCGAGAAAAATGCAAGACAATTATAGAATGTATGACCCAATAAAAATAATCAAATATTTTAACATAATAAAAAGCCTAAAGACATATGAAAGTAAATTGTATATCAACTGTGGGAAGAAAAATAAATTGATGTCTACAGCTTAATTACAAATCATTTTGTTTTTTATATACATATACAAGAAAATGTTTTGACTAAATTACCATAAAATTTCTGGGAAAGGGAAAATAAACTAAAATATCATATGAATACCATGAGACACAAATTTATAAAATTTTCTGGGAAAGGAAAAATAAACTAAAATATCATATGAAAACAATGAGACACAAATTTTATCCCCTAACAAACTTTATGGGTATCTATACCCAAATCAACAAACCTTATGCAAATCCTTGGCAAGGGCAGCGCAGAACACCGATTCATTCTCCTCATACATACGCTTGAGGGCCTTTAGCTGCTTTTTGCGGAACTCAACATCCCGGGTTCGACCAGAGTGAAACGCTTCTCTGGCCTGCTGAATCAACCTAAAAGATAATGAAAGGGGTTAAATTGTATCACTAATCTACAAGCTGAAAAATAAACTTTTCCTTTCACCCATGCCCCAAAATTGATAAAAAGTTAAAAGCAAAATGATTTCAACCTCTGCGTATACTCCCATGATGTACGAATGATGTTGGTGAGATAAGGGCAGGTACTGCAGATGAACTTTGAATATACCCCAGCAGGAGATGTAACTAATTAGATAAGAGTACTGTAATCTGTACTCACTATCTAAACTTTGAGATAAAAACTAGTTATTTCACTTGACTAAGACACACATCAAACAGCTGATAACTCAAGTACATTTCAAGGCTTCTAATACACATCCCTGGAATGGATCAATTGTGGATTGAGTGGATAGACTGATAAGATTGAGAAATAGAGATAAAGAGATTGAAATATAAATGAATTGCAGAAAAAAAAATGGAATGGATATTATATTGAAGCAAAAATTTACATTGATTAGTGTATAAATGTAAAATTTAATGAAAAGATTGAATACCATAAAATATTAGATGGTATAAAGGATGAAGGCTAATTAAAAAATCTCTAATGGTGTTAGGGAAACCACATACATGAATTCTAGCCCAATAAACCCATTCTGCAACCATTTAATTCCTTACCCTTTCAGAAATATACAAATAATTCAAATGGCCACTATTTCTACAATAACTGCACAAAAGGCATGAATTTAACTAATTTGATATGTTAAGAGACCTTCAACCTTAGACAGAGAAATTGTAGTGAAAATCATTTGTTTGCAGATTATGACTTTTTAAATTTTAAGCTCTGGCATGAACCCAAAGAGGAAAAATTTACAAAATTACTTTTGTAATATTTGAAAATGAGACATTGGGCTTGTAACTATTGCTGTTTCTAACACATACATGGCTAAGGATCTTGGGCCTTTACTGAACCATTATCAGGCCTTGCAGATGCAATGATAAAAGAACCATAGAGGATAAGTGATGTTTTCTATGCATTTACCAGAATAGTAAGAATAAACAGTCAACTTTACCTTAGCCATAATACTGAAGGAAAAGCAACCCATTCAACACAAACCACACAATATTCAATTCTGACTAACCTGTTCATATCGTGTCATCTTCTCCATAACTTGTTAACCTAAAGAAAAGAAGATTCACAATTATTTTTAGTATAACAAAAACATAACAAAAAATATAGTCTTGACATAATCTGAAGTAGCTACAAAAGTCAGTTCAAAAGATTCAATTACAAAACATTTAGAATGATACCATATATCATGTTATATAGTACAGAAAATTATATGATAACTTTCTTGTACATATTTTTATGAGGGAAATATCTTTCAATTCAACCATTTTATAAATGCAAAAGCAACAGATAAGATTGCATAGTTAAGTTGGAGGATATCAACGTGCACTACACCTTCAATATGATGTAATTAATATCATGAAAGTGAAAAAACTGAGTGAATATTTGGGATATAAGAAACCTTTAAATTTCTTGTCGTAAAGTAATTTTTTTTTGTCATTCTTTATGTTTACAGTCTTGAATAGTAAATTGACCACATAACACATTACTGCTGTATGTCAACTATTTTGTGTCTTACTACACACATGTGGAAATGAGTTATTTCTTATTATAGTACCCATCTATTCCACTATATAATGGGCATCTTGTCTAATTATGTAATATTATGAAAAATAAAATATGCCTCTTATAAATTATTTTGCATTTTTGTTTTAACAGCTTTTAGTGAATGTGCATTTTCAAAACCAGAATTTTTGACAGTTCCTTAAGTATTCTTTGACAGTCATTGGTATATTTTGTGCTATGTGTGATCTTGGCTATGGTCCTTCTTTAGCCCATACAGTGGAAATTTAGTGAAACTTACTGATATCTGCATAAATTACAGTTTGTTATGTGAACTTATCAATTGTGCAAAGTGTGGAAACATGTGCAGAATTGATTGATTTTCACAATGTATTCCAGAGCTGAACAAGTGTTTCCACTAGTTCCAGTTGGCTGCAGATAAATTTTATCCCCCATCCATTTAACTCTATGGTGATGGGGCTTGATTTACTTGTAATGTAATATTATGCAAAAATCTTTATGGCTAGGACTAAGCTGTGAGTAGCCAGCCCACCTACTACAAGTCATAATGCTTTTAATCATCATAGGCTGTTACATTATGAGAGCTATAGCTATCACCATCACCAAGGGGTTAAGGTAAAAATAGCTCATGACTAGAAGGGTACACTGTTTTGTATTCATTTAACTAAGACTATAGGGGCCCAGGGGCAGAACCCCTGATAGGAATATAGTGCAATTGGGAGGGGTTGTAAAGAAAAAAACATGCAAAATCATATATCAAAATCTAAACCAAGTGATGATGTCAAAACTAGATGTACTTTAAAGACAATCATAAATAAAACCAAAGGATGTACATCAAGGAAATTATGAACTTGTCAGATTAGTCTGTAGCTGGCCACTTTACATGCCAAAGTATTGGGTATCATATTTACCTTGTGGAGCCAGTTACAATTACATGAGAAGAAAGCAAGAACTCTTTATCTGTATAGACTGTTCATCTAACATTGTTTTGTGCTCAATACCTAGTTTAGCAATATATTACAGTATGTACCATGTGGCTCCATGGACCAAGGTACTCATCCATCAATGCTACCTGGGGTTATGCTAAGCTTTCACAGTAAACAATGTATGGAATCAATATACTGATAGAATCTATAATACTTTTCATCTACAAGTTTATTTCGTATAGAAATACAATACTCACAGCAGTTGCTTTCAGCTGTGCACTTGCCTGGATACCTGAGCTATCTCTCTGGAAAAGTTTCTGGATGTTAAGCAAATCTGCAGACAATATAATCAATGACAACTAGAATCCAAAGGCAAATCATAAACAAAGACAGTTTCAAGTTACTTACTATCTATAGCTTTGCAAAGTTCAATGTAGTTCAAAGCCAGCTGTTGTATACTGTATGTATTCTATTCTGGTTATGATATAGCACTTACATTCCAAGAAGTTTATCATCAAATAAGTATTTTCAACTCTATCTTGCCTGACTTTACATAAATGTCTAATGTTTTTTTCACCATTATACCATTTGACAATTGCAATTATGCTGTGTTCGGAACTGCTCGTCCTGCTCATCCAGACCAATTGGACGAGATGTTATGACCATTTAGAACCTCTACTATCTCGTCCTGGACAAGTTGTCCTCTTGTCCTTCTGCGAAGATGGGCGAGCAGGACAAGATGATGTCACATAAACTTTTGTATGTAAACATTGACAGTGCAGGTAACCACAAGATATTGATGGGTAATTTTATGGCCCATTATTGTTGTTATCAAAGGATATTTGGTGTTTAACAGTTGCAGGTAAGCTGAATATGCATCAAAGAGTTACAAAAC